GTAGACAGATGATAATTACTAAGGTATCTATTCAAAAACTGTTTATGATACATTCATTTAGACATTAAAACTATGTAAATTTTTATAATAAGTTATGAGTGCCAAACTTGCATACATCTGGAGTTTGATTCCTAACCGACACACTCCTAAACCTTTTCTAGCCGGTAGTGAGTTAATAGAAAAGAGGGGAAAACCAACTCCGCATCATATAATACACAATAGCCTTACTGTTATTGAATTTTCAAAGCTTTGAGCCATATGTTGCACCAGGAAGGTAAAGGAATGAAAGAAATCACTGGTGCTGCAAGTCATATAACCATGAAGATTTCTCAGATCAAATTAAACAAATAATGGTAGTACAATGAAATTTTAAAAAATTCATTATTTGTTAGAGCTGATAACAAATGTGTTTGTTAATGTTTTCAGCTGAAATTGTTTGATGCTTTAAATGGTATTCGTTTTCCAAGCTTCAATTTACACTCGTAGTACTTTCAACCTTAATTCAGTCACCACCTTACCTTCTGTGCATTTCTACATGGAAGTACATAACTGAGTAGCTAGCCAATCATATACCATATATATATATACTCGATCTTTGTCTCTAGTCAGGAATGTTTACTTCTGATATTCATCGTATCAAGCCAATATTATCTGTTGTGAAAAGAATCCTACACCGGTGATATACCAACTTTAGAATATTTGAAACTTAGTAGATTTTACACAGATACTGTGACATAGCGGTTAGGACACTCGCCGGCCATGCACACGGTACGGGATTCGATCCCCGGCCGACGCATTCCCTTACCTCGCTGAACCAGAAATAATGCTGGTAAAGAGGAAAGGTTGGGCATGAGGCTAGCAACCCCATCCTGTAAAAATAAACACTGCTACAGAAACTTCAAGCCACTAGCTTGTAGCCCTATGTTCCACAGGGGAACGTGAAAGGAAAAAAACACAGATACTACCTTTCCAATTAAAGTCAGTGAAAGTATTACGATGGGGACACTATATATTTCAAGTCTGATTACGAATTGAGTTCAATTAGAGAACCACTGAAAACTAAAGAGTGCTGGATAGTTGTGCCACCATGGTTTGAGACACTTCAGCATTACGCAACCGGGACACTATCGACGATTGGACCTAAGACTTTCGGATAACAAGACCAGTCGGTAGACAATTCAGACACTAGGACAGAACTCAATGCCCAATAAATTTTAAGCTCTGTCAATTTGAGATATACAGTGCAAGTGCAAGTCAAAGTAGCGACCAACGGGATGCGTCACATTGGGTTTGAGGATAAATACTCACTGATGAAACTGGTCAGGAAGATAATTTGTAAAACTAATTACTTTGGGATCTTTGTTTGACCTGTTTCAAAAAAGATTTCTTCGCACCCAGGTGGGTGCGCACTGATGAAGAGTCCCAAACTAGGACAAAACAGCTGTCCAGTACTCCCAGGCTTTCCAATGGTTCTCTAACCAAAGTCAGCTCATGATGAAATCATCCATCTAATCAAACTAAATCCCTACAAAACCAATACTTGAAAATTACTTATAAAGTCTTATGTGACGTTTGATGATCAGATGTACTAGTCAAAAGTTGATGGAAATAGCAATGAAGGACTTTTAACAAACATATACATAAAGGCAATTCTGTTCAGCCACCTGAATGGAATACATGAAAATGAAAAGCACCCCACTTCAACCTTCGAACCATGTTTATGCTTCAGTTTTGTCAAAAAAAAAGACATTTAACGCATCTCAGTTATTTACACTACAGAAAATTCTGATTGTTTCTTGTTACAGCCATAACACAAACACAATGATTAAGCATTACAAGACATACAAAGGTGTTAAGTTCACTCCCTCTTAAAAGTTAATTGGTCATCTGGTTAACAGAGTAGAAGCGCGCCACTATAGTAATTTTATTATCAATTAGATCTGAACAATTAGTGCGACTTTCGAAACATGTGAAGTGGTTCATATATTCTATTGTGTTGCGATATAACGCACGAATCTCACATTACAGTTTCCTTCACGTTCCCCAGTGGAACATAGGGCTACAAGCTAGTGGCTTGAAGTTTCTGTAGCAGTGGTGTTTATTTTTACAGGATGGGGTTGCTAGCCTCATGCCCAACCTTTTCACTTTACCAGTCTCATTACTGGCTTAGCGAGGTAAGGGAATGCGTCGGCCGGGGATCGAACCCCGAACCATGTATATGGTCGGCGAGCGTCCTAACCACTATGCCACCGACGCACACGAATCTCACATTGAACAATATTTTCTCTGAGAACAATGCTCAATTAGTTGCTATATAACTCCAACCTGTAGATCACTGATCAGAGATGACTGTTGACAAATGGAAGATCTACAAGGAAGTAACATAGAAATTACCAATCTTCGGTAAGTACCACTCACTGTTTTCGTCTCAAACACCAACTGAAAACAGCTTCAAACAGTGCTAATAAAATTAGGATAAACAAACAAATTAAAGGACACTGAATTACTTTACCAGTAAGAATTAATTTAATTAAAGGCTGTGAATAAACTTTAACCAACAAAAATAATCAGAGTGGTAGTAGATGCCATTCAGCTAGGGCATCAGAAAAGTTAGCTTTCCTAAGAACTATTACAAATAAATTCTTATCACAAATACATTCTTCAAATGCCCAAATCTTAACCTAACATCAAACTTAAAATAAAGTGAAACAAAAGAAAATTGACTGACTGACAGGTTTCAGCGTAGAACTTTGCACAGATGTGCAACAGTTCCAGTCGCCACACTCCATCCTTGTGGAACACAAAGCAAGAGAAGACAGGAGAGAGAGAGAGATTCAAAATAGAGATAATAAACAGAAATTTGAGACACAAAGAGTAGTAATATGGAGGAACCATATCGTTTTATTGGATATTATAAGTCACTAGAAGTGGATGCATCTGAGCCGGACATTGAGAACCATTTTCAGCCATATTACCAACTGTCTTCAGCCAATTGTTTTTACCGTCCCGAGGACCCCAACCAGGAAGTCTACACCTTCCTACGTGGTTGGTTGGCTTAAACTAACTGTTGTGATTTTCATTGACTGATAAAGACATGTTTTCGTTTGACCGTCCCACTAGCTATTTTCCAACCTGATCCATCCTATGTCAGCTAACATTGCCCGTCGGTCGAGGAAGGCGATGGCTAGGCATGTGTAACACAAGTCCTAACCATCTCAATCAGTGTAACTTCACAACTTCGTCGACTGACTGTCCTTTCTTACCTAGCACTCGACGCCTAACCTCGATATTGCTCACCTTATCATAACGCTTAACAGAAAAGAAAAAAGGAAGATTAAAAAGGATACGAGTAGTCTTAGTGAGTAATTTAAGATGGAAGAAAATCAACAGGACACTCCACTGAATACTAGCAATCTGCATTGAGAAAATGTCAAAAAACGTATTAATGAGGATATTCTTATTCACTATTAGATTACTGAATGAAGCTCTGCACTTAAATGTTGAAATACCCAACCATTATGTCAAAAATGACCCATGATATCATAAAAATTAGTAAACAGTGCTCAGAAGTTACACTCATATAACTTATGCAAAGAGGTCAAAGTTCAAAGAAAATACAAGCATACAAGATTAATGGTTGAATACATTGAGTTCCAAAAACAAGACAGGGGGTGAAAAGTTAATGATAAGCAACTATCCCGATGCAGAGTAGTATAGTGAGTTTAACTCGAATCACAGAAACAAACTGAGTTACATCAGACCACTAATGGAGGAACGTTAAATAAAAAGAAGAAGAGATTGAATGCCGAGTTACCAGAACAAGGAAAGACTAATAAATAAATCTATCTGAACACATAAATCAGGTTTTAAACGTTTGATAGCGATTGATTCAGTTAATCTGCGGAGAGTTTAGATACACTGTCTATTAACAGTCTTGAAGGATTTCACGGTGTCTAACCCTATGACACGTATCAACAAGATGACTAGCAATAGCACTACACCCTTGAGATGTAAGCATTTTGTACATATTCAAAGAATCTAAGATATGCCCTTCTTTCTGTTATTTCAGTGTAAATGCTACCACAGATACATGTACATCTGTATATACAATTAGAGTTAACATACGTAGGATATCTGTCAATCTTTGATTGCAGCAAACATTATGTTGTTCGATAAACGGAAACCAACTTGTCTTCAGGATAGATTCTGACTAAAGAAGTATTCAATCTTTTTTTGTTTATTCCTGCAATAGTATAACCTTTGTCTGTTTCACAGTTTAAAGTTAGTTACTATCATCAACTCAGGTAAAAGCATCTAACTGTTTAAGCATGAAAGTAAACTCTCAAAGTCTGGAGAGAAGGAGAGAGAGAATAGGAATTTTTCGTCTCTAATCAATAGCTTCAATTGTTTTCACGTATCAAGCAAACTTGGGCTATACTACCATATATATATATATATATATATATATATATATATATATATATATATATATATATATATATATATATATATATCATACAATTGTTCAATACAATCAAATGAGACGTCACGAAGCACATACCAACTCATCTAATGTGAACGACATACCAAATAAACTAAGGTGGGACTAGTTTTTTGGCGGCAGACTGTTTTCTATATGCGCAAAGAGAAAAAGCAAATAGTTATTTAGAGCTGCCAACGTCATTTGCGAGCCACACAGATTACACGACAGGTATGTACGATGAACCCATACACACACATGGGCGCACGAACGCACGCAGAAGGACGCATACAAACGATTGACAGTCACGAGACCAAAGGTACAGGTGAAATGAAATCACAGTCACATGAATAATAATAATAATAATAATAATAATAATAATAATAATAATAATAATAATAAAATATCACATAATGAAAAATAAAGATAATTAAAATGAATTATAAAAAGAAAAAACTAACACAAAATCTAATCACAATTAATATTTATATATTCATTGTAATTATAGCCAATTACTAACCTTTATCTAATTTGCTTTCAGTTAACAAGTCCTTGAAATCTTTAGGAAGGTAATAGTTTAGTGCACAAGCAAGTGATGTAGGCAGTCCAACAGCTTTTGTAGCAATTGATTCAAATGACTGAAAAATAGTGCATCATCAAAAAGAAAACGAAAACAACGGATTTGCATAAATTAGGAGAAATGGAATTGGGGTATCAGAACATTCATTGAAATATTATTCTGTGAATGAAACAATGCTGTTACATTTTTTATAGACAAAATGAATATATGAATAAAATAATCCCATTCAGTGACACATCGCACAGATGCAGTCAGAATATCTACAAATTTATTGGGATTATGAGAGGGCAAGCAGAACAGCTTAGTTTTGCTTTCATTCCTGTGCTTTCCAAGTGAAACACACGGCTTGAGCTTTGCAGTTTCAGTAGCCATGGTACCTATTTTCGTCGTTTTTTGCGAGGTGGGATTGCTAGCCTCACGCCCAACCTTTCCTATTTAGCAAGCTTACTACCGGCTAAGGGAAGTTTAGGAGTGTGTCACCAGCAGATCGAAGCCCGAACCTCGTCGTGGTTGGTGAGCATGCTTACCATTAAACCACCGACGCAATACTTATTTAAACCTAAGTAGATAAAGACTTCACCTTATCACTACCTGATTGAAGGATGGGAGCCTAAGCTTACAGCATTTGTCGGTTATTCAACAACTAGGTACATATATTAATGTAATTTTAGATGAACCATACCTACTGAGTGACGACTGATGGTGGTATATGGGTGCCAAAATTTCAATAGAAGGAGTGGAATTCCAACCCGACTCAGTGCCTGCAGCTATATCACAGTCACGAGGAAATATTTATCAACATTAGCAACTGAATTGTCTCACAGGGGATGTAAGCGGTAAGCAAAAATGACCAGAGCAACTGATTCTAGCTCACTGATGAAGCAATGTAGCACTACACACAGAAGTGAAGAAATTTAAGTTCGTACATTTCGAAAAAGGACATACAAGAGAAGAATACAGAAATGGAGTGAAATGATATTAAACGAAAGTGTGTAGAAGGGGGAATAATTTAACAAATAGCAGTGGTGCTCTATTCACCAAAAACTGTACAGTAAATCCTCTTCGAAACCGATTATATAAACAGTTATGAAAACGACTGACACATGCACGAAAAGTACTCATCTACACATGGGAATAAAAACATACAATTCAGTGAAGAGGTTCTTTTTCAGCAAAATTCATTCCCATTACCTATCTTATCCAAACTTCCTGTTTATTAATGTTATTTTTAAGTTTTTCTTAATCCCTATTTACACTATCGTATTTTCATATCCGATATTCCTGTCTATTTCGTCATTTTATCCTTAATTCCATAAACAATTATTCGTCACACTAGTTATGATCCCACTAGATTTTTTATCCATCCTTTCTGTCTATTTTGCTATTTTTACATTTCTAACCCTTAATTGCACAATATGTCAATCATCTAAGTAATTGTGATGCTACTTTGTTTGAGTTTTATCCGCCCCCTGTTTATTACGGCATTTTAACTCCTAATGGTAGTTTTACTAATTTGACCTTTGACCTGAAATATTTTTAGGATAATACTACAGCCTATCTGCCTTACTATATTCTATATCTGATCATCGTGTTAACTACACTTTGTAATTTCATTAGTTTGATCTTTGACCCGGAATAGTTCTGGAACTTTCTCACCCAATTACTATAAATACACGAATGTACAGCCTAGTTGATGACTTCGTCAAAAAGCAGAAAAGTAATTTGGAATATTGTTCTCTTCATGAAGATACCGAAGACTAGTTAGACTTTAGCTAAGAATATTAAGGTCAATGAATTTAGACTACATGTTATGTGATACTGTAAAACGCCCATAAAATTCGGTGTTAATGAAAAGCAAATAGAGGCAAGTATCTGAACTTATTATTTAACAGTAAACATAAGCCAGCAAAGAGAACTCGTTTTAGGGCTTTCTTTGTATGTACCATGTTAATTACCAACATAGGTCAGAGGTTATTATCAGTTTATAACAAAGATGAATTAATGCGTATGACAAGTAGCAACGAGTGAAAAGTAATGAGTGACATTACACAATCAAAAGAGTTTACAACTAATCAGTTACGAGATGAGTAGTTATTTTGGAGAAAATTGATAGGAAACAAGAGCACAAACAAATGGAAGTGAGTCAAAAAAAATATACAGAGTTTATTATCCATCCAATAACAGAGAAAATGAAATCGACAATAAGGTCGTGGTAATAAAAGACGCTGAATAGAACGCTTCTGCAAAACACATTTCTGGTTTCTCCTTATGAATGGTAAGACCTATGGTTGCACGGAAATGTAAGTGGAATCTTTTCAACCGACTTGGTCTTACGTAATATTATGACTTCGAATGCATTTCCTGCTGATGCTACACGACGAGAAGTAATAGTGTACTCTAAAAATGAGATATTGATTGTTTTCTTTACATAGAGTTCATTATTTTCGATTGCCTAATACATATAATATATAGGGTATTTTAAGTGAGATCATAATCTACCTTTATAGTGATCAATCAAATAGCACATTTTTGAACTTGAAAATGTTTTCTCAATATCTTAAGGAAGTTAAGCATTGAATAATTTATGGAATAATTCACCTGGTTAAGAGAGAGTAGGTACACCACAAGATTTTAAAAAAAACCTATAGTTTCATTTATTTTGATTATAGCTTGATTCCAAACAGTATTTTTGGTACAAGTGTGTGGAATTTTCAGCATGCAATATCGGTAGCCCAAATTTGCAGGCTAACCATTGATATCACGTATGCGTCGGCAGAGGATCGAACTCCAGACCATGTGCATGATCGGCGAGAGTCCTAACCGCTATGCCACTGACTTATTTCATCAAGAAAACGTTGAAGAAAATCAAGATTCTCTAAGACACTAAAACCTACATCACTAAGTATCCAAGTGAGAAACTTGGATACTGACTGATGCACACATGCACAGAAACCAAAGGCAGTATAAAAACACAGATTAGCTTTACCAATAATAGGAAGTTTTATTAATACATCGGACAAACCACGTTATTAATAAATGGTTCCTAAACCAAAACAATAAGGTGCAGTAAGAGTGTGACCACATGCACTTTTTCGGAGAGGACCCAAAGTTGTATTCACTGAGCGCGAAAATCATTGATCTTCGATGCATATTTATGTGTGTATGTATGAATGCTGAACTCAGGAGATTCTTTCGTCAATATGGGATTCTCAGCTGGTTAAAACCTGTCATTAGCTCAGTTTTACGATATATATATATATATACTCTTTGCTCTTCCCCAAATCAAAATCAATATCGTTATTTTCGTATATAGATAAGGTTTATTATTATTATTATCAGAACACAAACTTCGTACGTCATGAACTCCAAGAGATGAGACACATAAAATCTTATAGTTTGTGCGAGGGTAGGCATACTGTTCAGATGCAAAGACCGTGTCAGCTGGTTGTCGTAACGCGCCAACCCGATGTCTTTGCCATGCAGTTTGATCCGCAAGGCAGAGAAGCAGTGTTAGGAGCTACGTGATCGAAACACATTAATTCGCCATTCAATCCATTTAGATTCTGGAATCCATGTGTTTGAAATTAGGGTTTCCCAGCTCCTCTAAGTAGACCTGCATGGTATACCAGTCTGGCTGTAAGCGCTAGACATTCGTATTCACCCTTTCATCTTTTTTTGAAGTGATATACTAATAATAAGTATAAGATATTTAGTTATGTCCACCTTAACACCACCTATTTCTTAAATGCATTCAGAGACAACCATCTATTAATCATAAACAAAACTTTACACTTATTTCCACTTTTAAAGAGATTTCCAATGGCAAATTTTACGCGTCAATCATTTTTAATGCAGGATATCAAAAATTATACAGGCATACAAGCAATTTGTAGGCCACAAAATCAAATGCTTCTAGACTGTTAACTTCAAATGCACACCTATCCCACTTTTTTGAGTTATTGACAAATACAGACAAGTTCAAAATACATGAATTTTCCCTTACAATCAAGTACATACCATACATTGACTAAATAGATTTAAGCAACAAAGAAAAGAGGGTATCCTAGTGTAAGAGAATTAATTACAAATACAATCGATTTTGTATTCATTGCACTGGCGAAAACCAAACAAATTGCCTTAACACGAGGAGTGTTATTTATTATTACATTTTACCTTACATAAAGAGATCATGGTATATTATGGTGAAAGTGGTGAGATAGCCCAGTTTTACGCCATCACATCCAGCAACAACAACAGCAACAACGTCATCATCATTATGATTACTAAAAGCAACTACAAGAACATCAACAAGGGAAGAGTTTTTCTTTTTCTTCTTAGTCAATTAATTCCCTTCAAATTAGTAGAACGATATTTGCCTATAGTGATATATTTCTATTTTCCTTTTTAGATACCTTGGTCTTATAACACTTGACGTTTTACTTATATATATATATATATATATATATATATATATATGTATATGCATACAGAAAATACAAGCTTAATGAAGCTTTCACACATACCTACACAGATATAAACAAGATAAGGATGTAAGACAGATCCAGTTTTATAATCAATACTAATATAAACAATTAATGGTCAAAAATCTACAGGATGACTAAGAAAGAAAACTTGAAAAAAAGAAAGAGAGATTAACACCTCTTTGGATGATAACAAATGTAAGTAATAACTAGATTATGATTATTACAATATTGTAAGTACTGTAATGATTTAAAATTATCTAAGCGAGGTGTTAGTAATAAGATTAGGAGGAAAGCAATAGTAGTGGCGTCCGAAAAGGAGATTATCAGAAATGTCAGTGATAAGAAAGAAGCCTGTGAATTCTACACACCTCATGTACATTCATTTATTTTTTTTTAAACATTTAGATTTAGAAAAAATGACGACAACCACATTGATTCCGACTGTTTATAAGACGAACAATGAACTCTAGAGTCTTACATAAGAAGGAGGATCGATCTAAATGGAATGTCTTTTAGCATACCATCGGATTCTGTAAACCACCAACTTGTGCCTTTTTTAAATCTAGTTACTTCC